GTTTGAGGCGCGTCGCTTTGGGATGAATCGCTTGATGATGGTATCGTTGCTGCTGCTTGATGCTGCCGCTGCGACTCGTCGCCAATGTGGCTTTTAAGCTGTTGAAATTGTGTTTCAATGTCGGCATCGGCCTTTCGAAGCTTCTCGCGCAGCCGCTCACTTCCAACAATGCGCTCCATTGCCAGCTTCAGTCTGGTGTCCAATTCACTGGACCTCTCGTGGCCACTTGAAACGGACTTCATGATCTCATCATACCGGTTTCGCGCGCATCCTTCTTGTTCATGATACTGAGCCTCAAGCTTGGCCATAACAGCTTTCATCGAAGCCATCTCGCCTTGCAGCGCGTCCGCTGCCGCCTTTGAGGTCTGCGTCTGCTGTATCGCATGCTCAAGAACATCTATACGGCTCTTGATGGATGATTCGAAGGATACTTGTCCACGGGACAAAGCCGATAGTGCTTGTTCGATCTGCTGCACTCTGGTAAAAAGCCCGGACAGTTTATTGTCTGTATTTGTCAAAAAAACATGATGCTCGTTTGCAGTTCGAAACAATGTATCAGATTGCAACCGCATACCCTCCATGTCATTCGTCAAGCTCAGCAAACAAGTCGCCAATCGCTCAGTCCTTGCTTCGAGCTCCGAAGCCACCTGCTGCACGTTCACTTGAGAATCCTTCGCAGTCTTGGCCTCTGACCTAATCTCATGTTGACCGGTCTGGAGAAGTCTGAGAACCTCAATGACCGCTTGTATTTGAAGCATCTGCTGCAGTCGAACCTGCACATTGTTTGCTGACGCCGCTGCTGGTGCTGGTGGCAGAATGCTTCCTGCTGATAGTTGCGTAGTGTTAACGTCACTTGGGCGAATCATAACCTGTGATTGCATGAGGGTTTCAGGAGTCGTAGAGTCAGTAACCACGGAGAAAGCTGGACTAGCATTAGCGAGGGCCTGCCTCACACTATGAGGAACATCATCTAGATGGCTATACTGCTGAGCCATAGCCTACGAGGATCAACTCAAGCTCCGAAGGAAAACCCGAACATCGAGCCCCTAACCTCCTGGCCTCCGCCCTGAACCAAACCTGAAGCTACTGCAGAAGTAGCCCTGGGGAGGAACCCTACGACCCCGCGCACCTCACTTTATGCGTCACACTTGAGCCATAGGTATGGCGTGTCTTTCACTTGCGCAGGGGCCATGCTTCGAAGCCCGTGCTTGGTACACTTCTTGATTTGTGCTGTATGCAATCACAGTGTTTGATGCAGGCAAACGTGCGATGTAGAGTTACTAACCGGCTTCAAAGTGCTGATGTCTTGCCTGGCTGGGGCTTTGAAATCTGCAACAACCTTGAACTCTACCCCAACCACGGTGCTTCTCTGGACTTTAGGCATGTGATTTGACGGCCCAGATCCATGAACAATTCTCGCCACTTTCCCAGAGAAGCATGAGCACTCGCCCCTAAATTTGGCTCTGATCTTCTGCCACACTTGGGTGACATGTACAAAGGCCATCACTCACAAGAAGTCCAACTGGAGCCCACTTGAAATCCACTTGAAGCCGCCTGGCGTCTGCAACCTGATTGCTTGAGGTTGCAGATTACAATGGTGTGGCCAAGGCCTCGCACATCAAGGCCCTGCTAGGGTTGCAGAGTTGCAGCAGTTACCGGATCAGTGAGGTAAGCAGGTAAGTAACTTCATGCACCCACAGGGAGACGTGAGGAATATGAGGGTCCCTGTTGCCGTATACTTGGTTGGGATCATTTTCAGACATGTCCACATGATGCGAATCTAAACAGTAAACATGAACACGCTGGAAAGGTCAGCATACTTATAAAGAACAAGATCCAGAATCCGGTCCAGACATTTTGCATACGGAGCTTCTCGTATGCGGGCATCCAGCCCCAGGGGACCTTAAGCCGGAACTCAGCTTGAGCCTCAATTCCCAAACCAAATCTTTCTCTTGAGCCCAGTACTACGATGAAAGTTTCAGGACAAGCTTGTTGAGATCGCATACCTCAATGAGTCCCCTGGCTTTCACTTCGCATGGGCCGTATGTCGCACTCTTTGCACGACATCCCTTCTTGAAGCTGGATGTAGCAGCAGGCGTGGTTTGGTTGCTTGTGAAGATCTTGAAACTCTATGTCCATTGGCCTCGCAGTCCACATCTTCTTTCCACCCCTCACACACTGAATGTGAAAGCCTTCCTTCCCGAGCCCCGAAGCCTCCCACCCTGAACCTTCAAACCCCACGTACCTGTACCTACCTCACCTAAGGAACATTGCTGGGACTGCCATGGCTTCCTCGTATGGCGGTAAGGCACACAGTGGAGAGGGAGTGGGTGGGCCTCTGGATGTTTGGCTCTGCAGGTTTCCAGGGTTCAGGGTTTGGGCTTTACGTTTTGGGCTTGATTGTCTCGCTCACGTCCAGATTCAAAATAGGCTAAGCTTGCAAAAGCCATGATCACCTCCAGCGTGAAGATGATTGTTTTCATGGCCATCCCTTGTGTGGGAGTTCAACCTTTTAGTACAGCAGGTACTGCTAGTCCTCAGGTGGGCCTGCCTTACTGGTTGTAAGCTTCGTCAAAAACTGTCCAGATCAACTCCCGCGTCTGCCTCCTGACTTCTATAGGGGACCCGGAATCCTGAACCTTCAACCTTGTAATGCGTCTACTTTCGTTCCAGCAGGCAACGCCTTCGGGCAATTTCCTCCCGGATGTGATGCAGCTGAGCTGCAGAGCCCAAATTGCTTGTGTGCTTCTGGGTGGGAGTCTGCTGTGTCAGAACTACAAGTTGAGCTTGGACATGTGGGGCTTGTGTTTCGTGAGGTTGGTAATGCCCGTCCCTGTTGCAAATTTTGCTCCGGCTGTGCAAGCAGGTGCAGCAGTTCATATTTGCTTGTCAACTGCCTGTGCACCTGCCATGCGTGACTCTCGAGCTTCAAATGTTTTTGGCTACAGGATGGCGAACATCTGAAGCCCGGCTCAATTGGCGCTGCACGCTGCTCTTGGCTTTGAGTCCTATGGTATCGAATCTAAGCGTGCGCAGTTCTTTGCTTGCTTGTCGGTCATGCAATTTTACTCGAACATGCTGCCCTCAGTCTGGGGAGGTAAGCACAATGTCACCAAGCTCCCGTACGAGATCTCCCGCTTGGCACAGGAGGGTTGTTTCGTGGCGTTTCTGTAAATAATGTAGTAGAACGTTGGGTTGAGGTTGGGAGATCAATTCTAAAGCGTAAGACGCTCCCCTAGCTGATGCTGACGCAGAAAACACGCTTTTAAAGCTGAGCCCAAGGAAAGGGCTTGAAACCGCCGATTCGTGTCGCCGGCAGAATTTTGCCTTGCCGGCGAAAACTCACGGCCGATAGGGGTTTGGGCGCTCATCTAGGGTCCTTGCCAGTAGTTTTGTGGCCTGGGCCCAAAGCCTGCAGGGCGGAATGGAGAATGTGTGGACACACTACTGGCCCTGGTGCTTACAGTGGAGGCTCCCAGAGATGGCTGAGAGCACGGCGCCCTTAGGCAGCAGCGCCCAGCGTGCCGTCTCCATCCATCCATCCTGAAGCTGTCGATTTCTCGCCTGGGGACCTAGGGTGATGGGAATTCCTCGGAGGTGTCGTGGAATTTGAAGCAGGGATCTCCAACATTCCCGCACTCCTACGCATCCAATCCCTAGATGTTGGGTGTGGCAGGGCCGTGGCTCAGATCGAAATAGCAGTGCGAGACAGACATAGCCACCAGTTGAAATGCTAGAGCTGTATTATGTAAATAGAGCATTCTCCATTGCTGGTGTAGTGCCTCACCTCAAAGAACACAGCATTCTCAATGTGCCATCCGCATGAGAATGCAAAGTCTCGTGCTGGCAGGACCTAGCAGGAGGTTTGATCGTGACCTTGCCAGCAGACAAGGAATTCCGTGGCCCGGCTAAAGTAACAACAGGAGTGCGACTGGCAGCAAAGATAGCTGGCGTTATGACCGGTACACACACATATACATATATATATATATGCATGTATATATTTTTCTGAATATGAATATGTACACGTAGGAACGTATGGATTCAAAAATGTTATAACGGGGATGTGATCGTGGCACTTGCCAGTGCTGCGTCAACGATGCGACGTAGTATTGCTGCTTGTGGTTACATAATCATCCACTTTTGGAGCTGCCTAGATACATCTAGGTGGAGGGGGAAGGCGGCAGCACAGAATTTGGGGTCAAGGGTTACCTTCATCCACAAGTCCCATATCAACCATTTCTGCGCAGTCCTACCGCCAAGATTTTGTTCGTTGCTTTGAATCCTTTGATGTCGTAACAAGATAAGGGATAAGGGTGATAGGTCTAGAGTGGCGTGTCACAGCACCCACCCATAGATCTTAGCAACCATGTTCAACTCCAAATCTTGCAGAGATTTTGTTCCAGTAGCACCAGGGACCCAAATCCGGTGAGACAGGATCACAGGGGAGATTTTCGCACCATCAACCGGGCTTCAACTTTGAAGCTTCGCGGCTGGTTGCACGCGCTGTTGCATTTGGGGCAGCTGTCGTTAGATCCTAGTGTAAGGGACCACTGTCAACACGTGTACGTGCCGAGAACGTTCCGGCATGTATTCATATTCCAATGCAGACTCCTTCCAAAATCATTAACGCCCCACTTGCACGTACCCATGAGCTTGCTAGTGCAAACAGGTTCGATGCGCTGCAAGAGCCTGCTGAGCATAGTCTGGGTTTGAGGCTGAGAAAAGCGGTTTTCTGAAGGCAACGATGTGGCGGGGCCATTGCTGGAGAAGTACCTGAAGGCTGGTCTGGGCTGGTCCTGCGAGCAAACCATAGCAGCCCTCAGACAGTACAAAAGGCTTGTTTCCGCTAATTGCCCCCTATCCTTCCCAAGCGGACATGGAAACTGCAAAGGGTCGCTTGCAATTTCTTCACGTTTACATGGAGGCTACCTGGACTGTATGTTGGTTGGGTGGAGCATATGCGTTGGACCTTTGCCACTCAAGTTCCATGCACCTCCATGCCCAACCGCGTCCACAGAAGTGTGCAAACTCAGCAGGCCTCCAGACTGATTTGAGTGCTTCCCAAAAGTTCGTTTCTCGGGATCCTATTTATAACATGAGGGAACTACGTAGCACCATGATTCTGAGAAACCACAACCGTGCCCACGAGATCCTCAGGGCAAGAAGGGCGTCACTGTAGAAAATCGTCGACGCGTTCTCCGCCTTATCGAGAACATGACCATGGGCAGGACCCTGCGTGCAGTGCACTTGACCTTTTCCTAGCATGTTATCTAGAATATAGTAGTATTGCTCATCATGATCACGCGTTATCATTTTGGTGCAGTACATCAGCACAGAGGACACACTTGAAGAAAGCATGTGTTACTGGCATTGCCCAGTAGATGTGCAGATTGCAGTGTTGTATGGCTTCATGGTGCAGATGCCGGGATGTTTGGGCATCACTCTCACGAGCGCAGAGCGGCATCATCTCCAGGTCTGTCCACAATTTCGTCAGTTGAATTCACATGCCACGCTTGCCAGGAACGCCGTTGGATACTTGAGTCGCCTTGACGCATGTAGCAGGAAATTTCAAGGCATCTCAAGGATACGATATTTCAGAGAAGATTTGCTACCAGCAAGTTAAGGAGTTTGGGTTGCACTCAGGAGCATGTCTCTCTGTGTTCGCTTCGTCTTGTTGAAGGCAAATGGCAAGCTGAAATTCCCAAAGCCGTAAACTCTAAAGCTAAGCCCTCAGATGCCTAGGTGCTCCGCCTCACGCGCATGGACGTAGCAAAAGCAGTGAAGAAGTTAAGCCCTACATCCCATCCACATCCTGCACCTCAAAACATTATGAACCCCAACCACTCAACCCTGAATGCTACACCTTTGCCAAAAAGCCTTCAGCGCATGCGCATTTCAAGGCGAGAGCCTCCACGGTGCTGGCTCGCCGCAAGCACAGCGGGTGACGTCAGCAGCAGTTTGGGATGAGGGATTCGAGGTTGGGGATTCGATTTTGCAAAGTGCGCGGTATATCTAAGAAGTTCACAATTCATGCTTACAGCGCTTGCTGCTTATGTGCCTGGGTGCGACATGGCGAAAGGACACCACAGATTCCGCAGAAGATAAACAGGAGCTTGTGCTCCTGGAGTTTGTACCCCTTGATTCTAAACCTGAAGCTTGTACCCCTTGATTCTAAACCTGAAGCCTTCAATCCTGCAAAACCTGAACCCTGAGCTCAAAGTTTCAAACTCGCGTATTTCTCAGGGAATACCATCTGGAAGGTCGAGGAATAGACCCAACCACCTGCGAGCAGAACCAGCAAAATCACGCAAGTCTAAGCTGCGAGTGCGAGGTTCTGATCCAGCGGCTGTTCGACCTTGAGAACAAAAAGAGGCTGGCATGTCGCTGAGGGTTACGGTTTCAGGGTTTGTGAAGAGACTAGTGACAAGAGAAACAAGCAATCACACTCTCCCTCGAGGTCTTATTGCAGCCGGTGAAGCATTCTATCGCAGAGACGACAAGAATATTAGAAGCAACGAAGCCGTGCTAAGCACGACAGCAACAGAGAGTTTGATTTGCGTTAAGTTTCTTTCGCTAGCCATTGGTGTGCGCCGTTTGTGCTGGGGTAGGTCAACTAATTTCCGGACAGAAACAGTAGAAACCAACTATTTAGCAGCAGAAAATGTCACCAGGGGCACAGCCCCCATACTTTTTCCCTGGGGGGCGTCTCAAAAGCCCTAGTTTTCCCCGAGGCCACGAGGCCCTACGCTTACACGGCAGAGTCGCAAAACACTAGCGCAAGGTCTTTGCGGGACTTTGGGCAAGATGTAAGGTTGCTGACCTAGGGGGGGGATCAGGTGGTCGATCTGCGCAGCCGCAGTGCTTCTGGTATGCTCCATTTTCAAGATTTTTGCCCAAGCAAATGCACGTGCCTGTAATCTTGCACCTGAATCCCAAAGAACTCCAAACCTCAAACACTGAAGAACGCCAAATGCTAAACTCCGTAATCACGAAAGACTCAAAACCCCGAACTTGAAAGGACCCCTAAGACCAAAACGGGTTTGAAATCCCTAAAGAACACCAAGCCGTAAAGGACCCCCAAAGACGACACCCCAAAGAACCCTAAACCCAAGAGAATCCCCAACCCTAAAGCCTCAAAAACCCCAAACCGTAATCCCCAAAGGCCCCCAAATCCTAAGCAGCATCAAACTCTAAAGCCCAAAAGCCTTAAATCCTAAACGCTAAAGACCTGAACTTCACACTCTAAAGGACCCCAAACCCTTAACACTGAAACAAAGTAATCCCAAAAGAACTCCAGACCCCAAAACTTCAAGAAGACTGAGGCTGCTGCACCCTAAAGAACCCAAGTCCAAAACCGTGAAGAAGTCCTAGCACCAAAGCAGTGCTGAAGTTGGGCAGGCAGAAGCCCCAAACCTGAATTCTTCAACTCTTCACAGCCCCTAGGCCCCTAAAACTGACTCCCAAGACCCTGAGCTGACACCCCTAAATCCCATTCGTTCAAATCTGTGTCTCGTGCTTTCTTTAGCTGCCCTTGGTCCCAGGCTAGCCAAGCATTTGGCTGGCATCGTCGAGTGAGCTGCAGCATCTTAGGATTTTAGGTTTTTTGAAGCTTTCAAGTTGAGGATTACAGTCCGGCATTATATAAGTAGGCACATATATGTAGGTAGCTTTGAACGGGGTTTGCTCCTGGATCCTTGGACCTCAGACCTTCCGAAAACTAACGCGCAGCTGAGGACTATGGTCCTGTAACTTGGCGCTGGTATGGGATTCTAGGTTCATTTGGGGAGGGTAAGCATGTTCACACCAGAGCCTTGCTGAAACTTTGTGAGCAAGGTCTAGACATTGGGGTCAACTGCCATTGTCTTCCTTCTTTGCATTAATTCAACATGCGCAATGACAGGCCTCTCTCAATGAACCGATGGGTGTTCGAAGTCATGCAAGAATCCTTGCATCATGTTTGGAACCCTTGCTGCTGTTGCTGTCCGAATTCTTCTTCTCCAATCCGAGAATCCAATATGGCGCTAAACCCTAAGCCTTGAACCCATAGCAGCCCTGGGCTGGAAATCCTGCAGACTTCATCCACAATCTGAATTGCTCGTTTTGCAGGTGGAGTGGAAGTCAACTGTCCTCATCGCTTGGCATGGGTTAGTAAGACAGCATCCAGAGAATCCTCTGGAATGGTTGAATAGCATATTTGAGTGAAATGTAAAGCCGACAAAGGAATGAACATTCTGATTTCAAGACGAGCCCGGAATCACTGAGAGAGGTCACCAGCCCAGACTCAGAAGCAGATGCTTTTGTCGTTAGCCGTGCAAAGCTGATACTTCCAGGGCCTCCACCTGTCATGCCGATCCAGGGTTTAGTGTTCAGAAGTGTTCAGGGTTGAGGGTTTGGTCAAGCTGTAGCCTTGGCAAGGGCTTGCCAGTGTGAGCCTTTTGTGAGGGTGGCGATCTCTGACCAGTGCTGACTTTGATAAGGGCGTATTTCTGAATATCTTTTGTTGTCCCGGAGAGGGACACCATAATCCCGTTGTAATTGGCATTGGCATATTTCAGGGGTCCCTAAAAGTACCGCTGCTTGGAGAGCCTTCAAGTGAGACGAACTCCTCAGCAGCAACATAATCATCTCGCGAGCTTTCTTGCGAGACCGTCAAGTCAAGAGACATTCGGCTCCCAAAAAAGTGGGTCGCCTTTGAAGTGCGGACCACCCGAAGTCACAACCCTTTAACCTTCAACTTGAGAGTGGAAGCTCCAGCCTTGGCCCGGCCTTGTTTCCTTCGCCCGAGGCATCGGCGCAGCCCCTTGGAGCCCAAGGCTTTGATGTAGGGATGCCCCTAAACCCTAAACCCCACAAATCAGGGTTTGGGGTTCAGGGTTTAGGATTCCGCTTCAAGGGGTTTTAGGCATTTTGGGTTTAGGGTTTAGAGGTGAGGTTGCCGCATCTAAGGGTTGAGGAATGTCCTTGGGCTGTTGCAACAAGGCTTCTGGGGAAACCCAGATGCTGCAACAGAGCTGGGGGTTTAGGGTTTAGGGTTTAGGAGCCTTGACACCAGCATCCTAGACCCTCAAGCTAGCTTGTCGAGAGAACCACCACCGGTTCCAATGTGCTCTCGCGCGAACTCGCCTGGGACGGAATTCCTCGTGGAAGGCGTCCCATATTGCAAAAAGCGCGCTTTTGGCCGTGCAAAGAGTCATGCCAGTGGCCCTGGGGATGATATTGAGAATATATTGGGGTTACATTGGGTTATATAAAGCCGTTATATTGGGGTTATATTGTCATCCTTCTGGCAGTGCATGGTGCCTTCGACTTCCGGTTTTCAGCCTCAGGGTTTTAGGTTCTTCCAGCAGAAGAAGTGCGCATCATTAAACTGAAGTCCTAAGCCCTAAACCCCAAAATTAAATGGAAGTGTGAAAGCTCGAAGGATGGCAAGCTGAAGGATGGCTTCAAGAAGGATATGGTGCTGTCCCCAGGATGTTCCGGGCAGTTCGTGTTTCCAACTCAATTTCTGCAAAGCGAGTCAGGTCACACCAGAGGTGAAGTTTGCTGACCTTTCCGAGCTTCATCATGCGCCGCGAGCCAAGACAAGAGAAATCTAAGCGGGATGAACATTTAAAGAAGATGCAAACGACCACATGTGTTCGTTCTACTTTATTCCCGTGTTTTTGTTTTGAGCCATGGTGCACGTCTTGGAGTTTGCCTGGATTCTTGTTCTAGCGTTTAGGGGACTGAGCTTTTCCTGGCGTACCCAAATCTCAATGCACTTTCTGATCCCCCCAATCCCGAGCCTTAAACTTCAATGAATCCGGGCCCATCAGGTTTGGGGAGGCTGCGGGTCTGCGATTGATCCAGCCTTTGCACCTGTCAACCAATAAACCCCAAACCCTCTGCTCGTGTAAAGGCCTTGTTGCGTCTGTTGGCTTCTTAGAACTGGTGCTCAGGTCTTAGGGCCTTTACGGTGAGGATCGTAATGTTCTGTGCCGGGAAAAGGAAAGATGAGTGTGGATGTTGCTGATACTGCCGTTTCCTTGGCTGTTGTATTGTTTGTTCCTGTTGCGAAAATGGCAGCAAGTTACCAGAGCGAAGCTGAAGTTCTGCCACCGGTGTTCCTGGGATTTTTTCAGTAGAAGCCTAGTGCGTGCATCGAAGTCGCCTGCAGCCACAGACTTGATGTTCATTCAAAGAGCTGAGTAACGGTGTGGAGCAGGTTACAAAAACTAGGCTGCCAGCTTCCCAGCAGGAGGACCCTCCATGTCAATGAACGAGCGGCATGTACGCCTCCCAGTCCCAACTTCCTGTCTTGCCATGCCACTGACACCAACCAAAGTAGCTGGTAAATAAAGTAGTTATCGCATCCTGGACCCTCTGACTCTCAGGTCCATCCGCTCCTATGCGCCTGGATGCATGAAGTTTTTTGTGAGGGCACTTCTATTCAATGTTCAGAAGTGCAGGTTCTGCGGTGGCTGAGGGTTCATGTTTGGATGACCGCAGCTCTGGTGAGGACTGCAGGCCAGAGTTCGAAGTGTTGAAGACCTTTTGACGGGTCATGATTCATGGCGAACATAGGATGCTTGCGCCTCATGCTGATGGGATGACAAAAACTTTCAAAGCGCAATTATGAGGTCATGGATGTTGGGACACCGCGCGCACACACACGTATTTACTTACAGGAATTCCGTAAGGCTAGTGTCGTGCCCTCGCTTGCTTGTTGCATACGTTGCTGAGGCTGTTCTTCTTCAATAAGGTTGTCGATGCGGTCTTTAAAAGGCATCAACATCGCAAGTCTTGTGTATTCTGGATTGTGCCAGGATTGCAGGAAGGGCAACAAATTGTCATAAAGTAACATGGCAAGAAGTAAAGACCACAAAGACCACTGTCGTTGGGGTTTCCACTTGGTGGGGTGCAGCATGACAACAAAGCCCCAACCAGCCCAGTCGCTTGAGCTGCTCAACTGCGTGGCAGAGCAAGGGGACGATGAATTTGCCAAGGACAGAGCTGCTAAAGCTGAAGAAATTGGGTTTGCAGTTGGTTTAAGGTTCACTTGTTGAAGATTCGTAGGGAAGCGTATCGAAACCAATTACTTTGTGGGCCTTCAAACCTTCCCCAGCCAAGCGCCGGGCTTCGTCTTCACTTCAGCTAGGGTTGGTTTCTAGTATTGGTGCTGGTGAAAGTCTATAAGATTCTTTACAGGTCTTGCTGATTGTACATAATGGGCTCCGGTTGGGGTGACCATGAGTACAGGCCCCAATTTGGCTTTAGAAAGCTGCAGGCTTGGCAGTGCTGCATGGAAGCACTTGAATCCTCGGATACAGATGCACAGCAGCAGATATGTTGCAGCCAGAGGATTGTTTCTCCAGCGTTATGGCTGGGCTGTGAATTTGGCTGCCATGGGGCTCTGAGTTGGGTATGGCCGCAGCTGAAAAGTGGTTTAGCGGGTTTGTGGGCTCATAGTCACAGCGACCATCTTGCAGCCTAGTGAAAGGAATCTATGAACCACTTATCACCCACAGGCCTTCGAGCACCCCAGCCGAACAAAGATGTCCCTCAGGATTGAACTACCTTCAACGCTTGAACGACACATGAATATACCATGGTGGTTTGCATCATATTTTCCATTATCCCTATATAACCACAATATACTCTAGTATCCTCATTATTCACTTTGGCTTCCCAGCTTCCTTGCATCAAAGTCAGGGCTATACGGCTCAGCCCAGGATTCGGGAATCCATGGCGAAACTTGTGGGTCAGGGTTTTACGTCCCTAGACTTGTCGCGGTCAGCTTGTTAGAACCGCTTACAACCCTGACACTTCAAAGAAAAAGCAACCGTTCATCCACTTCTTAGTTTGTTGTCGAAGACTCAAGGGCTACCAAACTAATTACCCTTGCAACAGGGCCGGAGCTGTGAGGCGAATTCATGGGGTTCCAATGGGGGATTATTTCAAAACAGTAGGCCGCTACAGTCGGAGGTGGCCTTTGGCGAGCCTCAGGTCAGGCTTTAAGCAGTTATGCTACGATGACAAGCGGATTATTCGATTCCTATTTACTGGGTTGCTGTTAAGGAACTTAACTTAAGTTACCATAATGGGGATACAATATGTATATATATATATAATCGCTAATATGATTTGCCCAATTTCGCAACTTAAGATGCTTAATAGCAGTGGGTATATATACACATATCTATACTAAGGAATGTGGGTTCCCCTATATTGTATCTTAAGATAAGTTCCTTAACAGCAACCCAGTAGTTAGTAGGCTTGAGATAAGCATCCTCGCACCTCGGCAGGAGTTCTGCAAGCCAGGTACGGCAGCTCAGAAAGTTCGGGGATCCTCAGAGCCAGAGGGCTTGAGAGCTAGGCTTCTTGCAGCCCAACCCTATAGGGGCTATTAAGGGTGTTCATAGGAGATTATATGGAGGTTATATGGGGATGATGGAAAAATGGAAACTACTATTTAGGGTTCAGGCTTTAGACATCAGGCTTTGCTAGGGCAAGGCTTCCAAGGCTCTTAATCGGCTGTCTGCAATGAGTTGTTGAGGGCCCTGGCGCTCTGCCCAAGAACCTATTCTGTGTTTGAT